CCCACTTTCTCCACAGCACTCCCTCTTGTCCTTGGGGGCTGGCTGAAAAAGCTCTGTGCCAAAATCCAAGCAGGATTTCAGAGAATTTTCAGCCCCAGAGTGGAGAGCTTCAGACGCTTCTCAACTTGGGCTGAAAATCTAAGCGGTTCTGTGGCCCTCATGCACCCGACTCGTACCACACCCCCATGCATCCTCACCAACCCTCACATGCACCCCCTCACTCCCTCCCCCTCCCCGGCAGTCCCTGGGGCTTGCAGCTTCCTGCTGGCTTCCCCACTGACTTGATTGTGGGAAGCTGGCAGGAAGCTGCCTCGCCTAACGACCAGGGCATTCACTTAACGATGGCAACCGGGACTGCTGGGATTGGGTCCAGTAAGTGAAGCAGTCATGTGATAATTCACTTAATGACCACATTGCTTAGTGACCTAAACTGTGGCCCCAGTTGTGGTTGTTAAGCAAGGACTACCTGTATCTATCTTTCCTATTAGATCCGGCAGGAGAGACATGCTCCGGGTCCCATCTGGGAGGGAGTGCCAGGAAGAGAGCCTTTTCTGTAATGGTGCCCACCCCCTAAAACATCATCTCCTTGGAGACTAGACTCGCCCTGACCCTAATTTATTTGTTAGAATTATATCCCGCTTTATGTATAGGAGTTCACGGTGGCATTCATAGTGTTCCCTCTTTCTATTGTTCCCCACAACAAAAATTCTGTGAAATAGTTGAACCAAGAGAGTGACTGGCCCAAAGCCACCCTGTGAGTCCCCATAACTTAAGTGGATTTGGCTTTCCTCAATGCCAGCTTGTAGTGTTAACCTTAACTACTATGTCACACTGCCTCACTTTTTTCCTCAGTTCTTTTGAGTTTCTAAAACATTTAATTCTAATGATTACATTCTGTTCATTTAAAGGGACAGAATGTAAGGAATTGTGGTTTCACCCATGAGATATTTTTCAGATAGCTGAGACTACTTCACAGACTAGAAATACTACTGTCATCTAGCCATATACAGTTTTCAGATTGTGTTTTCCTCTTACCTGAGGGAACCAGCTACCATTAGACTAAACAGATAAAGGTGATGAAATAGTGAAATCATTACAATGCCTAGCTGTGTTAAAAGCATGAAATCTGGGCCACAGGTCCTCTCATCAGTTTAGGAAAAACACTGGGAGCCCCTCTGCAGCCTTAGCACAAAACTAGAATAGGTGGCTGGATTGTTTTCAGTTTTACTAACTAATGGATGCTGACTGCTTTAAAGATGATTTCAAAGCCAACTACAATCACTAGTCGCTGCAGATGGTCTTTTTTTGAAACAACAAAAGATAAAAAGACCATCTGACTACATCATGAATTTATATGCTGCCAGACAGCTTAATATTCTGCTACCTCATCTGATCTTCCAATATGTTTTTTCACCTTTTTGAGGATCCCCTCAAACACAGAACAATTCTGACACAGTCCAACTTTTAGGCCAGCCATATTTGAAGTATTTGCCTCATTTTACTTCTAGGGACTTTATTATTAGTGTTTCTATGTCTTAAACAGCAATGGATATGGAAATGCTGGCCTAGGATTACTTTTGCTCAGTAGTGGGAACAGACTTGTATAGGAGTCCGTATTAAATTATATATAAGCTCTGAAAGAAATTGAGCAGGACAGGAAAGAAGAGTGCACCTTACCTGGTTTACATTCATAGAAATCACAGCATTCCCCGGGCTTGCCCGATGCTTTGGAAATTAATATGTTCAAATAGCTGGGTTGACAGACTTTCCTCAAACATCCTGCAGGGTTGCAGACACAGCGGCTTGGAAGAGGGCAGCATTCTCCAGGGGGAGCATAGCCCTCAATCAGAATCGAATCCTCTGGGCAGCGTGGAGAAAACTGCACTTCACAGCGGGCTTTGGAGCAGTCTGGTTTTTCTTCTGAAAACAAGACAGCAAGTGCATGTAAGACGTTATCCGAATACCTGAAGCTTCACAGTGGGTTGGATAAACTAGTGAAGAAAAGCCATGCACATTTTTGAATAAGTTTTTTTTTTTTTTTTTTTTTAA